CCCTGGAAACAAAGCTTTTTAAATAAGGAGGGGAAGAGGGGTTGAAGGGAGGAGAGGGAATTGGGGAAAGAAAGAGGAATCAAGATATATCGTATGCAAGTACAAATTCCCTATGATGATATGAATACTAAATATCTTAACTTGCTCCAATAAACTTAAAAAAAGAAACTATAATTTTTAAGTAGGATTTGCATATTTTAAATAGCCCCAAGTTGCTTGTAAAATATGTATCTTATATTTCTATAGGAGGTATTTTTTTCCAACTAATTAAGGGTTATGAGAACCACATTTTTTGTACACTTGAAGACCATTTTATCAAAACTGCTTCTGAGTCAAATCTTTTGGGCCATGTTACTTCAAGGTCCAGCTCACATCCTCCCTATTAGGAAATCAGAGTATGGAAGGAAGTCTTTGTGGTCGGAAGTAGGGAAGATAAATCCTCTTTCTAGTGAAGGTTCTGTGCTTGGGAGACAAAATTGCCTGAAAATCATCAAATGCGTGAAAAGCCCTGAATGAGTTGGATTTTCAGCTGTGATTATAAGTAATCAGGGTGCTGAAATCGCCAGTCTGCCATCTAAACCAAAGGATGAGCTCCCTGGTGTCTTGGGAGACAGCCCAACCCATCCAAGGCCTATTAGGAGAGTCGGCACTTCTGAAGTGTGCCAGGGTGGGGAGGCGATGCTGACACACTGGTTTGCCTCACAACATAGCCTCCTAGCTCAGACAGGGCAAGGATTTGGTGCTGGGAGAGGCAGGGGTAATCATGGAGGAAGAGAAGGGAAAAAACCAAAAAAATAAATACACAAATGGGTTTGTTCTTTCCTCTAGGTCTTCTGCTGCCAGTGAAGAGAATACTATACTATATAAGATGGTTGACAATAAAGGCAACTGTTGACAATAAAAATTACTGAATATGAAATACATTACTATGGGCAGCTGTGGCAGAGCAAAAGCAGAAGAGTACTAAAGGCTCTGGGGGGGAATGCATTTAGCAGCAGCATTACAGGTAAAAAAGCCAAGAACCACTGGATACGGGGTCCTGACCCATAAATGGGGCTGGGGAGTCTTTTTTTTGTGTGTGTGGGGGGTCTTTTAGACATGCTTCACGTTTGCTTTTTTTAGACAATATCTTGTTACATAGTTCAGGCAGGTCTAGAACTAACTGTGTAGCCCAGGCTGGACTCAAATTCATGCTGCTGCTGCTGCAGCAACCTCCCAAGTCTGGTGACACATTTCATATGTCACTGGGACTATATTACCTTCCATTTGCTTTTTCTAACTTTCCTTTCATTCCTTTTAGTCTTGGCTTTAAAAAAAAACATTTGGCCATAACTAAGCAGTTTATTGGTGAACATTTTAATATACTATCTGGAAGTTTTTGTTTACTGTTTTGAAACAGGGTCTCACTATGCAGTTCAGGCAGGCCTTGAGTTTACTTTGTAGCTCCACGCTGGTCTTGAACTTGCCAGGATCCTGCTGCCTCTGCCTCCCTAGTGCTGGAATTACAGGCATGCTCTACCAGGACTGGCAATTTGGAAGTTTTTTGTCACCTATTAAAGGTTACAAAAATTGCTTTCTGAGGAATGTTTGATCCCTGGGCCTTTTGCCTGGATCTGACCTACTGAAGTCATGATGTGCTGGAATCAGAAGGGAACTTTTTTTATTTTGTGAAGAATTAAGGACAGAAGATATTAAAGGGTTTGTGCAAGTTCAACCTTATTGTAACTATAAAGCCAGTGATTACTCTTCAAGCCCACTGTGCTACCTTCACTTAAGTGGCTTTCAAAACCTTGTTTGAAGGCATTGTCTTTGGGGATCTTGGTCCTTGCTACCAAAAACTGTATCCCTTAGAACTTTTGTTGGTTCTTCACTCAAGAAATTTTTATTAGTCCAGTCTGTAAAATCTAATAATCATCAAGTTCCCAAATTGTAGTAGCAGTAGTTTCTCTGTGGCACGAGCATACGCACACCAATTAACCCAAAGGTTTGTCCAGAGGCTTTCTCTTAGCAGTTGCCAACTAATGCCTGGATGTGTGGATTGGACACTGGGTCAGGGCTGGAAGTTGAGCCCGGGCTGAAGGCAGCCATATTACTTTGCCTTTCTCTGCAGGGTTTTTCTTTTTTATTGATCAGTTGGACCTTCAATATTAATTTTAGCTTTGTCTGAAGATGCGATTTCTTTCCTTATTTTTAATTGACCTAGCTCAGAAGCGTTGTTTCCATTTTTTTTTCCATTTTTGTGTATCCTGTTGAAAATGAGTTTTCAATAATGTGATAAAGTGTCAGAATGAAGTGGCCAGTCAAACTTCATTTTAGGGTATCAAAAAAGTGTGAGACCCCCCAAAGTCTTAAGATTTTTAAACTGACCAAACAGTATCAATACAACAGCAGCATAAAAAGACTTACACTACAAAATTTGATATAGATGCCAAGGGTCCTACTATTGTTTTTCCTTTTTTGTGTGTGATTATGTGTCTCTATGTAGTTCAGGATGGCCTTGAACTCACTATGTAGCTTCGGCTGGCCTTGAATTTGAGATGATCCCCCTGCCTCAGCCTCCCCAGCACTGAGATTACAGGCGTGGGCCACCACACCTGGTTTCAGGGCCAGCACAGCATGCGGTCCTGGGGATTGAACTCAGATCCTTCCCAGCTACTCCCCTGCCCTGTTTTTTCCATATTTTATTTATTTGTTCATTTTCCAGATTTTAAAGTGATGTTTTATTACAGCAAAATAAGAGCACAATATAGATTCCCCATATACCTACTTGCTTCCTTCACAACCAACATCTTCCCACAGGGGTATGTTTGTTAGTCTTACATCCAAGGACACATCATAATCACCATATCCCTTGGTTACACTGGGGCTCACACTTGGTGGTATACACTGTATGAAGTCAGATAGACAGTGACACGTACCTACCATTACAGTATAATCTGGAGTAGTTTCATTGCCCTGAAAATCCTATGCTCTACTGAAAAGTTCTAAAATTTTACTACAGTATTTGTGAAACCTCAAAGTCTTAAGAAACTATATCTGGGGGGGAAAAAAAAAGACAGTAAAAGAAACCATGCCTAGAAATACTCAGTGTGCTACAACCTAATAGAAAACTACAGATGAGAACAAATGTGCTTTCTAGGTTCAATCAGATGAAACCAGCAATCTGGATAACCTCATCCAAGCAAACACCTGGAATTTCCAACAGACCTGAGTTAACATCCACAGCCTTCAGTTTTAGTAGACAACAGCTGCTGATAATGTTGAAGTGTAAGGGTTAGCTGTTTTCCTACAATCTTTATCCCAAATGAATTCAAACTCAATAAAACCCCTCACAGACTTCAATACTTTTTCCATTTTTATCAGTACATATTTGCAGTATAGAATTACATTCTTACCAAGCACACGTGTACGTGTATACAGCCTGTTCTGTAACTCACTGAAGCCACACACGGTGATTTGCTAAATGCACTCAATGCTTCACATCCCAGTCCACTTACACTACGCCTGGCAGTATTTTAGATAGGACCAACCTAAGTGAGTCAGCAGCAACAGCTGGAAATCCTCAGACAGGGGGAAGAACTTAAGGACCAAATCTCAGGTACTATGCCTAAGGGGCAACGGCCATAAGCCTTACTAAATTGTTGTTCCCTTTTCATGCAAGGAAAAGGAAGTATTCTGAACTTCTCCTGAGTATCTCTAGTAGTATCTTCTTTTGTCAAAGAAGCATGCTACTATTGTGTGATATCCTCCAACAAATTATTAATTTTGAAAATATTCTACTGAGCCCTCTGGCTATGACTGAGACCTGCAGCACTTAGTTGCTTGTGGCATTTCTGATTGGAAACTGGCTGTCCACCACCCACAGTGGAAGATCCCTTAGTTACCAACTGATCAGGTGCACAGAACCAGATATATCTAGAAGAATAGGCACACTGCCTATTCTGAAGAGGATGAAAGAAAGCACAAACAATGAAGAATCACATAACCTCTCCAACTCCTCAGGACCCAACAAATTTTATTTCTGATAAGGGATAGGCAGTGTGAAGTCAAAGAAGGGGATTTTTGGAGACCGTCATACTATGTAGTTCAGGCTGGCCTTGAACTCACTATACGTAGGCCCAGGCTAGTCTCAAACTCCAGCAATCCTCCTGGTCAAGCCTTCTGAGTGTTTGGATTACAGGTGTATGCTGCCATGCCCATCTTTTAAAATGGTTTTTTTGTTTGTTTCTTGACTCTAAATAGCAGAAAATCCAGACAGCTAAACTGCTAGGTTTTAAATGTGCAAAAATACACATCATTGTTGAATTCATGGCAGATTCAACAAAAATGTTGAGAGTAAAATAAATTTAGAGCTAATCAGAATAATTACTAATAAGATGTTACAAAACAATCTGAAAGTAGAGATGCTTTCATCTAACAAGTATTTATTGAATTATTATAGGCACTGTTTTAGGCACAGGACATACTAATGAACAAAAACATAATTACCTTATTGTAAATTTATTAGCTGGGTATGGTGGCATATGCCTGTAACCCCAGAAGTCAGGAGGCTGAAGCAGGATTGTTGTGAGTTCAAGACCAGCTTGGGCTACAAAGTGAGGTCAAGGCCAGCCTGAATTACATAGTGAGATCCCGCCTCTAAAAGGATGTATTTGTGTGGTGGTGGTGGGGTGGTGAGGTAAGATGGCACGTTTATTGTAAAAAGCATTACACAAATTCTAAATATGCTACAATACTACCCTGTTTTAATTTAAAGAAAAATCATATCCTTACAATAGCAGGCCGCAGCGTAGCACTGGAGTGTGTCTGTGCCTCGGCTGCCCTGGGACCTGGGCCCAACCGCAGGCTCCTTCACTGCAGCAGCCCAGGGAGGCAGCTGGGCCGCTCCCAGTGTTTGCCCCCACTGACGGCGACTTCACCTTTGAGCCGCTGCACTATTTCAGTGGGTCTACAGCATCCCCAGATCTCAATTAAACCTTGGTGGAGATTTTATCAAAGAATCAACAACAACTACATTTGAGACAAAGAGGATATGGCTGGCTTTTGAAAGTTGAAGCTGATGATACTGAAGAAGGCACTTTTGGAAGAATTGGATATTGATCTAAAGGATATTTACTACAAAATCCAATGTGTTTTGATGCCAATGCCATCACTTGGTCTTAATGGACAAGCAGTGAGAGACAATCCTAACTTTTGGGGTCCTCTGGCTGTTGGTCTGTTCTATATCACCGTATGGACAATTTAGGGTGGCCTCATGGGTTATAACCATTTGGGTATTTGGCTCACTGACAATTTTCTTACTGGCCAGAGTTGTTGGAGAAGTTGCATATGGCCAAGTTCTTGGAGTTACAGGATATTCATTACTTCCCCTCATTGTAATAGCCCCTGTACTTCTGGTGGTTGGATCGTTTGATGTGTTATCTAGACTTGTAAAACTATTTGTTTTGGGCTGCCAACAGTGCTGCTTCATTGTTAGTGGGTGAACGATTCATGACCAAAAAGCCTCTCCTGATTTATCCAATTTCTTTATTATACATATATCTCTTATCTTTATATACTGGGGTGTGATCCAAATCATACATGAGTAGAAAAAGGCAATATTAGCTTTGATACGGGCTGGGAATTCTTGCTGAAGAACCTGAAGAAAACATTGGTGGTAAAACTTTACATGTTTCAGATGTAAAGGTAGGCTGAAGGTCTCTTTTAAACAATATTTTTTGCATTAAGCAATTGCAACAATTTGGGATTTTTTAGTCAGAAGTCTAAATTCTGTTTAATTCTTCATATTCCAGTGAATAAAATATAAAAGCATTTTTTTTAAAAAAAGAA